AAAGGAATGGAATGAGCTTGAAATGTACACCACATAAGATGTAGTGATTTGTGCATTTTAATTTTTATGGAGCTCAGGCTTTCGTTTGCATCTGCAGTTTTTATCTGTCAACAGTTTTAAGCTTTTAAGGTCTTACCTTTTTTTGTTTGGAGAGAAGGGTGCAACTTTATGAAGCACACATTTGCTGTTAAAAGAAATCATTATAAAAAGCAACTAATTTTATCTACCATAATGGCATCTTCTTTGTTTTAAGGTCTTACCTTCTTTTGTTTGGAGAGAAGGGTGGAACTTTATGAAGCACACATTTGCTGTTAAAATAAATCATTATAAAAGGCAACTAATTTTATCTACCATAATGGCATCTTCTTTCTGTGTCAGCATGACGGCACCTAAAATTTCCTCAGGCGCTCTTAAAACTGGGGAGTCCAACCTTGAGGTTACAGGCAAGTATAAATTCCTTAATTTCTTTTTTTTAGCTTACATTATCAATCAGTTAATATCATACCCTGATTGTGTCACTCATCCCATGTTATGAATTTTTTTTTTTTTGTTATTGTTTGTTTTTCTCAATTTGTAAATAGATGATTTTTTTTATGTGCTTCCTTATTATGCTGCATACCTGAATTTCTATGCATATTTATCCTGTTAAAATAAATGGATAGGGAAATGCTGAACTGGCAAGGATTAAGATTTAGAATTTTTTTTTTTTTTTTAATGCAGGGTGACCCCTCAAATCCTGCATCTTGGGATTTTTCATTTTATTTTTAACGAATGTGCTAGCATTTGACCTCAAATTAATATTTATTTTCTTTAGATTTTAGTTGGAATGACTGATGGGGCGCTCAAACTAAGGACTTGCCTGTGCTCCCCACAAATTTGCTGTCCTGCTGACATTTTCTTCCTGCCGAGGAACTTGAATTTGGCTTAGCTTTCTATTTGTAAGTGATAAAATGGGCGCGCCAAGCTTATGAAACTTTTGCTAATGTAGAAGATTGCGAGAGTTTGCTATACGCTGGGTCACCTCATTCCTGTTAAATAGAAACAAGGCTATTTGGTTCTTAATTAGAGTGATTCACATGTTTATGAACTCGCATGACTCATCGAAACTTATATGGCATTATCATCCTATTTCGTTCTTGTTTGATCATTTGTCTGTTTGAACTGAGTAGAAGCGAGCATAAGTTCAATCCATTTGAATTCACTTGGGATGTGTACCTCATTAGACTTTGTGCGTAATTAGATAAGGATTTTTTACAAATCTTACAAGTTTTACTTCTCTTAAAGACCACAGATTATTATAGTTACACCTATAATCTCATGAATCTTTGTGGTACTAATAATAATCTCATGAATCATTGTGATGGCATAAAGTGAATAAGGTGAATTGTTAGGCTTGGTGGAACATTTTAATGCCATGGGTTTGTCCTAGATAGAATAGGCTAGGGCGGAACTGGCCTTTGCCGTTTCAAAATCTTGTTCGGTGACGCAAACGCTAAAACAACGCCCGGGTTTGCTCCCTGAAGTGGGGTACTTTGATTCCACATGGCCAGATTCCTCCGCGAAGCATCGCGATGGCAGAAGTGGGGCGGGGATCGCGAATTCTCACGAAGGCGGGATGAGGCGCGAACTATTGCTATCCATGGAAGCTTCGCGGGCAGCTGCAGTGTTTTCTGGATTCCTGGGGGTCTATAAATTATTGCCCTCTGTGTGTGTGGGAGTCAGTTTTAGGTATGTTGTCTGCAGATTTCCTGTGGAGTTGTTTTCCCAATTGTTAGGGTGGTATCTGACGACATGTAGTGTTCTGGCTGTATCCTGCTCCGAGGTGGTGTTTCATCCTTCCAATCTCCTTCTCAACTTCTCTGCCACCCCCATATCCCTTCACTACTCTGTCGCCAGCTCTACTCAATCCACAACCTTGCTGTTCAGCCTAGCTACAACCAATCAAAACACCATATCAACCTCCCCAAACAACCACCCGACATTTCCCACATTTCCATACCACCCTGCCTACGCTGCCACCGCCTTCGGATCTCTTCCACAAGTCATAACCGGATATTAATATTTGATTGTATTACTTTTCAGTTTGGGTTGTATTGTAACCTTATTTCTATATTAATAAAATTTTATTTTTGTGTTACACTACATCTTAACTAGTTCTGATATCATTTGGTATTAGACTTAGTCTGGCTCTAGTCCCATCCTAGGGTTTCCCAGAATCCGCTCCTACCCAAGCCACCTCTACCAATTTTTTTTCTTCTAATTCCCAACCCTATCCATGCCACCACGAAGAGATACACCGTACTCGACACGAGAAGAGATTCAACTAGAAATACGTCATTTGCAACGGAGACTAGTATAGTTGGATGACGGAAACCAGGAAGATGTTATATTCGATCGTGATCTAGAGAGAGAGAGTTAAGTAGAAGAATGGGATGAGGAGATGAATATGTTCCATAGGGAAGATCATAGTGACGAGGAATATCGTTTACGCCGTTTTGGCATCCAATATCAAAGGAGGCCAAGAGAAGAGGCCCCATATGGAGGTCAGTGGGACTTTGGCATCAAAATAAACCTCCCAAAATTTGTGGGAGGCATGGACTCCGACGAGTTCATCGACTGGCTGCAATCAGTCGAATGGATCTTCAAGTATAAAGACGTATTAGAGGACCAATGAGTCAAGCTAGTTGCAATTAAACTAAAAAAGAATGCTTTCTTATACTGGGAAAATCGACAAATGCAGAGGAGAAGAGAAGAAATTGAGAATAACTAAGTGGGAGAAAATGAAGAAGT